GTGGACAGCTCGTGTGTTGTATCCGTATTCATGTGTGGACAGGTCGTGAGTTGTATCCATATTCATGTGCAAACCTTAAACAAAGAAATGATACTCTAGAGAATGACATGCCCATGAGAATAAGGTTCATTGTTTAAGTTGTATCCATATTCATGTGTCTAATCTCATTTGCAACCATTAAACAAGAAAATGATACTCTAGGGAAAGACATGTGGTCTGAAATAGAAAAACATTTGCCCAAGTTGAAAATGTCACATGAAGTGTCTTGTAGAATTTCTAACTGAACAGTTATGTTGTTAATTTTTTTCTAGTGGACCTTACAAAAACAAAATTTTCTATTTATCCCATGGACGATGTTTTCAGAAGACCAAACTTTAATTTTGAATCAAGAAAGTAAGTAATTGCTGCTGCAGGTGTCGCCCTGACTTAGATCAGCCCATAGGTTGTTTCAGGGTTCGATCTGTGAATTAGACGTGCCCTGACTTAGATCAGCCAATAGGTTGTTTCAGGGTTCGATCTGTGAGTTAGCCATGCTCTGACTTAGATCAGCCCTGAGGTTGTTTCAGGGTTCAATCTGTGAGTTAGCCATGCCCTGACTTAGATCAGCCCTGAGGTTGTTTCAGGGTTCAATCTGTGAGTTAGCCATGCCCTGACTTAGATCAGCCCTGAGGTTGTTTCAGGGTTTGATCTGTGAGTTAGCCATGCCCTGACTAAGATCAGCCCTGAGGTTGTTTCAGGGTTCAATCTGTGAGTTAGCCATGCTCTGACTTAGATCAGCCCTGAGGTTGTTTCAGGGTTCAATCTGTGAGTTAGCCATGCTCTGACTTAGATCAGCCCTGAGGTTGTTTCAGGGTTCAATCTGTTAGTTATCCGTGTTTCAGGATATAGACAAACGCTAATAATGCTTTTCGTTTGATGTTTTGTTAGGTTATGGCACTTCTACTATACTTACATCAGTCACAAGATTCCCGCCATCATTGCCGATACCTTGTCCATATTTATTGGCAAAAAGCCAAGGTACGTTATTTCCCGGGAAATGAGATACCAGACGTAGATTGGTCCAGGAATCTAAGAAAAGGGTGGACCATAAAAATCTGTTTTTGCTTCAGAGGAACCTCACTGATCATGCAAAACGAAACCAGATGGGGTCCAGGGATATGCAGGATGGAACTAGGGGTGGTAAAAGGGGTGACTTGTGACCCCAACCCTTTTGCTCAAATGTCACTGAAATTTTATTTTTCGTTATTGTTGAGGGAAACTGTTTCATTTTGACAAGAGATAATAGCTCTAGAGCTAGAAAACACTTGGGAATTTTTGTTGTTACAAACAAGCTTTGCACGCCTAGATTCCATTTCGCTTGGTTCTGATCGAAAAATGCATTGCAAAAATATTACATTGTATTTTGCATGGTTTTCTTCCTTAGGATGAACCGGTTATACAGCAAACTTGAAAAAGCTACAAACATCATGAAGGCTTTTACTACACAAGAATGGCAGGTGGGTACCCTGTGCTTTATTGATGTTAGTAAGGACAAATAACTATTCTTTTCATTGTGGAATCAGCACTTTAAAAACTTTTTTTTTAACTACACTTTTTTWAAGATTTTTTTTCCCGAAAGTAGCCAAACACCTTAAGGTGGTATTACAATATCTAGTGTTACATTTACTATCTGTGCAACACATTGTTGGTGTCTTCATTTAATGTTAAATTTGATACATTCTTGCAGTTTACCACGACAAACAATTTGAGATTACTGGAAACATTGAGTCCAGAAGATAGACAGGTTGGTAATGATGTAAACATTATTTCGAGCTATCGTTCGTCTGTCCGTCCAAATCATGCATCCCCTTCCATTATCCATCTGTCTGTCCAACAGTTCGTACGTCATTCCATCCATCCGTCCGTCCGTCCGTCCGTCCGTCCGTCCGTCCGTCCGTCCGTCCGTCCGTCCATCCATCCATCCATAATCCATCCGTCCATCCATCCCATCTCATCTCATCTCATCCAATCCCTCCCTCCCTCCATCCATCCATCCTCCCATCCATCCACCCACCCATCTATCCATCCATCCAACCATCCATCCCATCCCATCTCATCCAATCCACCTATCCCTGATATTTCAAGTTCAATTTCAAATGCCTTCATTCGAAACAAAAACTCACGCAAAAAAAAATTCTTTCAAATTCTTTGACAGACCTTTGGATTCGACGTCCGTGAACTGAACTGGGATTCTTACTTTAAAGATTTCGTGCTTGGAATAAAGCTGTTTCTCCTCAAAGAAGACATGAAAAACATCAACTTGGCTCACAACCGAATAAGAAAGTGAGTAAAACCAAAGGGAACCCAATCCTATATTTAACTTACACAGGGATCCCACTCGCCAAAGCTAAGTCTATTCGTTTTTCTTTTCTTTGCAGACTTCGTAACATTCGCTGGAGTATGTACGCTTTGATGTTTGTTCTCTTCTCCTGGCTGCTCATTAAAAAGGTCCCTGCTGTTCGTATGGCGTCTCTCAAGTTACTCATGAGAGCTAGGGTCATCTTCAGAGCATTGGAGCCCTTTATGATCGTCAACTAGACAACCATTTGGTCAGTAGAGCACCAGACTAAGTAGTTAGGGTTCCTGCTGGGAACCCTCTGGTATAATGTTCGTTGAATTGTTTGAAGTCTTTATCTTGATTTCATGACTAAAAGAGCGTTTTCACTCACGTGGGAAGGCAGCCATAAACAATAGAAACTTTCTGCACAGTATTTGCATAAAAATAGAGTTCAATTCCCGGAGGATAGAAAATGTATTGTTTTGGTACCCCATAATGGTCGCTGTGACGTCACGTGAAAACGCTCATTACTAGTTTATTACTCACAAATGATAACCGCCATTAAATAGACCTCTTTAACTTGAGCGCAATTTTTTTTCAGTTTTATATTATTACTTAAGGTAAAGGGGTTTATTCGCTCTGAAATCAAGGGAAAGTTCAAACAAATATAAAACCACAGGGTTCCCACTCTGAGATTCTTAGTCTGGTAGACCCCTGACATATAACGTCAAAGCAGCTCAATACGAGAATTGGAAACCTATTGTCATATCCTTCAAATTGAGCTGCATTCTGACAGACTTCGAGGGGTCTATTCATTTGGTAATATTTTTAACATATATCGTCTCCGAGGCCCCTTCAATAGACCTCTTCGGCTTGGGGTAATGTTTTCCCATTTCAGACCACATGTCATTCCCTTGAGAATAAGATTCTTTGTTTGAGCTGTATCCATATTCATGTGTCTTCTCATGTGCAACCGAGCGCAAACCTTAAACAAAGAAACGATACTCTAGGGAATGTGGTCTGAAATGGAAAAACATGTCAGAGCCGAGGAGATCTATTCCCTATTGAGGGCGAGAGTGTTCTCTAATGTTATACCTACGTTTATCGTGATTCTTGTCGACTAGAACTCTATATAGTCAATAATATTTCTTAATCATTCTTATCGCCACCAATGCATCTAAGCTTTCCTTACGACGGAGAGATTCGATTATGGTATAGAACTTTAATCATAAGAAAATAACGAAAGTCGTATCCCGCACCACCAGTCTCTAAAAAACGCAACTTTTCGAAAGCGGATACGTGAGGTGTGGATGGGCCAAAAGGATTCGAAAGCGCTGCGCGTGGTCTTCTTGATTATGACCATTAGATCGACCCCTGTATACTCTCATGGTCAACCTTTCGTTGTCTATGGAAAGAAGTGCTATGCATGATAAAATGAATCATATATGATTCCTTTTTAATATACCTCTGACCTCCTCAACTTCTAGCATATACAGTGTTTGGAGCCCTATGACTCAAAATCCCTTGAGATATGAATACGATGGAACAATCGCCATGTTTGTTGATCTAACAATGAGAAGCTAGTGAGGAATGCTTTGTTATCGTCAACCAACATGGCGCCTATGACGTAACATGCGCATGCTCTATAGAGACATGCGATCATGGCCTAATAAAAAGGCATACCACGCTTAGAGTTGTCTGGGTCAGATGAACATCAACACTATAATATTATTAATAATTCTAATATATATAATTTTATTATTAATAATAATTAATAGACCTTTTTCTAGTTCCTAAAATACCGCTGTGTTCCTTGATTACAGGCTCATTTATTCAGGCTTAGCCTCGAATCAGTGTAATTATTCGCAAATACCAACGGCAAAGTAAAGAATGCACAACTTCAAAAATACAAACACTTTAAATTTCCACTGAGCTTTACTGGAACGCTTGAATATTCTACACTAAATCGAAGCTCACCCTGAACAACAGGGAACTCAAAACTAGAGTTTTTTGAATTTAGCCCGTTTAAGGATTTTCCCGATACTACAACATGACACCACAGAAATCTAGCTTGGGCTACCTGTGTCAAAACTTGAGTCTTAGTGCGCTTTCAGAACCGATTGGTCTGCGCGACCAGTTCTGAAAAGCGTCAGTTCTTAGAGCTGGATGTGATTTATTTGAGAACTTGCCGCTTGGACCGATCGTTTTGACTTGATAGGAAGCGCCCTTAGAAAAAAAAAAATCTTTTTGAATTTCAAACGATATAGATAATTAATAACTTACTATTCAAAATTCAATACAATTTATCAAACAATCTTGTTACAATCAATAGATGCAACTAAAAAAWATATATTAATAATATTAAATAAGTAGAAAAAGTTTTTCGGTGCAGTGACTGTTTCGACGTCATAGTCGTAGCCGCAGATAACTTCTGCTACAGGTGCATGCGGATATAGCGAAGTTTCTTGGAGTATCTATGAACCTGTTCAGGATTTTCCCTAGAAAAAAATTTATTGTTTGTCTTAGCGAACCAACACGTCCGACGTTGGGCTATGGTGTCCCTTTCCCGAATTAAGGACTGTCTCTACCATCCCTTTGGGATCCCCAAGACATCCCCTGTCTTTCCCCTTGTCCCTGTTTTATCCTTTAGAATACCGGTGTCTCTCCTATCCCCGAGTTCCCTCGGGATTCCCTCAGACATCCCTTGGCCGTCGCTCGTCCCTGGCCTGCCATCATCACTACTAGTGTCTCTAGACATTCCCTGTGTATCACCTTGTCGATGTTTTATCCTTTAGAATACCGGTGTCTCTCCTATCCCCAAGTTCCCTCGGGATCTCCTTAGACATCCCTTGGCCGTACGTCCCTCGTCCCTGGCCTAACATCATCATTGTTTTTCTTAGCGAGCCTTACAGTTGATAAAGGATATAACTAGCTAAAAACTAGTGTGAGCTGCGTCGGTGTTTCTAATGAAACAGTAATGATGAAAAGGTAAATTATACACCGTGAAAAGATGAAAAACTTACTGACGTTTCGGACGCTAGTCCTTCGTCGGAGTAAAAGATAAAGTTGATAAAGGACGTGAGCCTCATCCATGGCCTCACAGATCTTCTGAGCTATAGTCGTGGAGAACCAGCTGTAGGTTTTGATTTTAGCAGACGGGGTGGGGTGGCTTATGTGAACCTACATTCATGACCGGGGGATTTTCTCAAAAATGTTGAGACTATAGGATTGCCATTTGTTCGTTATGCAGGAATAGTCCGCAGTTTCGAGTTCCAAATTACCGCTGTGTTTCTTCATTACAGACTCATTTACTCAGGCTTAGCCTCGAATCAGTGTCTAATTACTCGCAAATACCAACGGTAAAGTAAAGAATGCACAACTTCAACAATACAAGCACTTTGAAACTTGACGGACCTTGACTGGAACACGTGAATATTCTTCACAAACTCGAGGCTAACCCTGTGCAAATGAGTCTGTAAACAAGAAACACAGGGGTAATTTTTGAACTCGAAAAGGGTCTATTGGAGATGGAGAGAGTTAGAACCCCCGGGCAAAAAAATATATTTTCATGCAAAGCTTTGCATTGTTTCTTCCCTACATAAGGCAATCCTTTGCGTGCAGTTGCTGACGTCAGATCATCGCGTTGTCCTAGCAGCTGTACCCTGCAAGGAGAGGCCCTTTTCTTTTCCTAGCGAAATAAAAAAGGACCTCTGTTCGCAGGGTGTAACAGCTGATTGGCTTTGAAGCATTTTATCCTTATTTATAAGTCAATCCTTTGCGTGCAGTTGCTGACGTCAGATCATCGCGTTGTTCTAGCAGCTGTACCCTGTAAGCAGAGGCCCTTTTCTTTTCCTAGCTGGATAAAAAAGAGCCTCTGTTCGCAGGGTATAACAGCTCATGCGCTTTGAAGCATGTTCTCCTTATTTATAGGTCGGTCCTTCAATCAAGATTTTCTTAGCTTCTGACCTCGAACTCTATTTTATAATATAAAGAGCCTATCTATATGTTTACAAGCGTTGGATTTTCTGTCAGGTCTCGCCCTTGATTTAAGGGCATTTCTCCACAGTTTTCCTCCCTTCAAACCTAACATGCTTAATTCCAGTTCGATCTGGGAGTAAGACAACGTGCCCTGATTTTGATGAGCACATACTAGTAGGTTGGTTCAGAGTATCGATAAAATTGGAAGTGAAATTTTGAACAAAATATATAATATTTCCCAATTTTTCTCTCAGTCTTATTTCTTAATTAGGCGTTTCCGACTGAAATTATCACAAGCTACCTCAGACATCCAACATGTCATCTCCTATAGCGATAATGATTACAATAACCATCTATATGTAAACAGATATTTCTTGATAAGCGTCAAGAAACTTTCCACCACGTGGCTTTCTTTGTTGCATGTCAAAATGTAACGCGCCACGCCCGCCATGCCGCGCACACGTAATCGCGTCATCCGTCAATCAACTTCATGAGAAAATTTTGCTCTAGCTTTTAAATTTTTTTAAATTCTGGAAATAGTGAATTCCTTGGTACTGAGATCTAGTTTCTATCTAGTTGAATGATAGTATAGCTGGTCTATGAATAGATAATTAATGAAAGTACTGTTATGATGTCTTATTAAATGCAATTTCCAATTTGAATAACCCAAGATTTGAACTTATCATCTTAATTTTCTTAAGCTTCCGGATGTGATGAGCATGATTTTAGTTTTTGTCTTTCCATTATATTATTGATAGTAACTCGTTTAATCTGAATTTTGGCTTGTCTCTAGAGATCACCTAGTGCTCATGGAGCTTGCCTGGTGCTATGAATAATTGATTAATTATAAAATTATCGTATTATCACTTCAATTCCTTTTAAGGTTCGGATCGACTGGTTAGGTTACGTTCCTGGTGAAAAATGACTTTCGCATCAGAGAGGAATCAATATAATTATGCTACAAGTTTGAGTCTTTCGGTTTTATATAATGATACATATTGTGGACGTATGTGTGATGGGATGATTGATAGAAAGCATCTTATCAAAGGGGAGGCTAAAAGAGAAGAGAAGAGAAGAGAAGAGAAGAGAAGAGAAGAGAAGAGAAGACATGGAAGAGAAGACATGGAAGAGAATTAGGAATTAGAAAAGAACATAAGCAGGAAAAAGGACGGGAAGAAAAGAGAAGAGAAAGAATTCGAAAGGAAAGGAAGTGAAGAAATGGGATTAGAAGAGACATATAAAATCATCTAAATCAAACTAAGTGAAGAAAAATAAGAGAAATTAAATGACGTAGAAGTCTAAAAAAAACAAAAAATCGGCACGAGCACAGGAGTATAAGCGAAATAAACGAAAAGAAAATAGGAAATTGAAAAGGCATAATAAAAGGAAGCATTTAGGACCATTGCTATTGATAAATCGAAACAAGCGAAAACGTTAAAAGGATTAATTTCATGCCGTCGCTCGCTTGACGCAAATATGACATCTTGTTGTAAGAAACCGTTTACTCTTTGCCTAAAATAATTGAATTATTTCACTTTCAGGCACATGTAAAGCTTTCATCTTAACTGCTCTCGTAGGACAGAAAAACTCGTGTCCATTAACGTCAGGGAAATTTTTAATTGAAAACGAAGGAAATGACGATAGAATGGTTTAATGACGCCTATTTTATTACCTTGATTGTACAAGAAGCACATGGAAACAAGAAAATAAATTTTCTTTAGACGGGATAACTTGGTTGGCAAAGCGAGCTCGCGTCGAGCTGTTCGTCGAGCAGAGCCTGTTTGCCAGCTGTCCGCCACAGGAAGCCCACATTGTGATCTAAAATATCTTGTTACTCGGATGAATAGCATCAATAAAACGCCAAATATTCAAGTTATAACCAATAAAAAATATGTTAATCTACCTAAACCCTAATCAAGGTCCATTGACGCCGTATCGTCGATGAATTCCCGCGAAAACATTTGGCGGGAAATTGTAATGACTGTGTAGAACTTTGTATTAATCCTTCTCTCAGCGGCAGCTGTTAGGGATTAAAGAAGGGGAAACGTCCTTAGGATTTGTAAATAGTGACTTTTTCTGACACTTCGAGGAAAAAAATTAATGTGTTCTCGTCAAAAGGAGCCATTTCTGATCTTGTTCGCTGTCACTATTAGAGTAAATTGGTCTATCGTGATATTCCGAGGCCGACTTATGAATTTATTCGTGAAGCGATCGACGATCGATGAATATTCTTGATTGCTTGCCTAGGGGTGAATATAAAAGATTGTTTCGGGAAGAAAAAAATTTCAAATAATACAGTTGTATTTTCATCGCTCAACTTTACTTATATTTGTTTCTTAAATCTAGAGAACCAATCAGTGACGAGATTAAAACAATAGATTGATTGACAGCTGCCGGTAAATAAAACCTTTGTGCCGCGCGTTTCGTTCTCAACTCTGAAAGTTGAGAAAGAAATTTGTGCAAGTGGACGAGAATGGAGGAGCTTTTCAAGACTTTTGCCCCATTTACAAGCTTCATACTTCTAGAGCCGTAGTGTCAACTCAATTATCAATCGTCCATGATGTCCAAATTGGATATTAAGACCGTTGGGCCTTTTATTTTGCAGGAAACGTTGGGCCGAGGTCAGACTGGTACGTTTACTCGACGCACAACGCATCGAGACTTCAAATGTTTTTCTTCGGTTTTCTGGCCTTGTTTTTTGCGTTGTTTAAGATTCTCTTGGAATCTTTCAGGTGTTGTCAAGCTTGGGGTTCATTGTCAGAGTAAGAAGAAAGTCGCAGTGAAGATAATAGACCGTACGAAGCTGAGCGAACCAGTTCTCCTGAAGGTAGGAAGAATGTCATTCACAGCCTTTGCTGGCTTGAAAACATGTTTCTTAGCAGAACTAAATGAATGCCCAACTATTTGAGCCTTGTAAATACACAATTTGCATCTAGTTTTTTTTAATATGAGTTTCCTGAATTCAAATATATTCTGTGGAAGAGCGATTGGAGAGAATTGAACTCTATCATTGGAATTTATTTTTATTTTTGTCCGAGGATTTATTACGGCAGATGTTGTTAGCGATTCAACCTTCATAAATCTTCGGCACAACAAATGACAAAAGAATCGAAAATCCCTCGCAAACCTGACATAGAACATGGCCCATTGAAAGGATTTTCTCGACTATTCAAATATTTATAAGAACAGGATCAAGTGAATAAAGATTCGGGAAAATTCTTTAACTTTCCGAGGAAAGAATGCTTTGATGGCGCGCTTTTTGCTTCTTCAGGACGACCCTACAACTTCTAAAGCGATATTTCTTTCCAATTTTCTCCATTTTCCTACTTTAACCTTACGTGATTTTTTCGAAACTGTTATATCGAAACCCTGGAGATTTGAACTACGGGAGATGGCTTGTAGGAATTGAGTTTTTKCCAGTGGGCTGGAGTAAATAAATATATAGTAAACTGCAGTGAAAGGGAAAGTCCTCAAAAAAAATCAGTGATCATTGAGAATGGAGCGCGATTTTTAAACAATTTTTGTCAGATGAACTGAAAGATTCTCACCAAATAGATTTTTATCATTTGAAGCAGAATTCTTTTTGTTTTTGAGGATATTCTATTTCGTGTTTGGTACAAACAAGTTCTTAATCAATGAGATGTCAATATAAATTAGAATAACATTCACGGACATTACTCCGGAGTCCAGGAAAAAATGGGATTTGGAAGAAAAAAAATCACATGTAAATTCCACGACAGTTTTCTGCCGTGTTTCAATATGGTTTTATTTTCCTTTTAGATTCCGATGTTTGAATTGTTTTTGGTACAAAAATAACCACAATATGCAAATATTTTTTATTTATTTTGGGAATGTTACCAGTATAACTTAAATATGAAAGATTCCAATTTTTAAGTAAAAGGATTAGATTTTAAATTTGAAATGTTATCAATTTGATGGAAATRTATTCCTTTTATAACCTTATTCAACCCCCAAAAAATACAGAGAAAAGTATTTATTTTAAATAATTGCATGTTATATAACATTCATTCATTTTATACAAAGAAACTCTGAAATCACAAACTTAAAATTTTGAATATATTAACAAACAATAAATATCCTTCCCTATTTACACTTCACTCTATAACACATTCAAGTCATTTTTGTAACTTTTATTTTAAGTACCTATTTATGCAATGTGAGTTTTTATTAAACATTTCAACAGAACAAGGCAACTAAACAACTTATTACACTATCTTAATTAGAGAAATTATCCCTCAAAATTTTACCATGAAATTTTAGTCCTAAATAATACAAATTGTTCCAACTATAGATTGTTGAATTTGAAGTGTTTGTTTTTATTATAAATGGAAAGTTCTGAAGTGCAGGAAAAAGCTGTCAAATTTCTGTCATGTTAACACAAATTACTCTTAAAATCTTAGAGTCAAAAATATTGACTTCAAAATTGTAAAAAAATATCGTAATTATTATAAGATTTAGGCATTGTTTTGAAGTATTGTATATGAAATATTTTTCTAGATATTATGTGTCAGATGACTTTGAGTGTGCACATGTACTCAACTGATATACTAACATTTTTGATATGAAGAGATTATGACTCAAGCAGAGCATTTGTTGACATTATTATGATAATTTTTCAAACAAGTTTTTGTTTCTCAATGTAGCTGGTTTTTGTTTTGTTGAGGGAAATGTTTATAGGTAGCAAAAGGTCTCTTGTTCCAAAGTAGACATAACTATGTAAGACAATAATACAGGTAACTATCCAAGAGATTTAAGGAATTGTATGTTTATAAGTTAAACAGTTAGGACTAGCCATTGCTTTTTTCAGGTTAAATGCTGCAAGCRTGAGTGGAATGGTTGCTACTACATCCTGGGAACATGTAATATGATTTATCCATTTCAATAATGCACATATCTACGAACATATTATTTTCTTGTTATGGTGGGGCTGACCGACCACAATAATACTTACAAAGTAACATAGCTGTCTCTAATAGTATCAAGAGAAAAAATCAATTGCAATAGATATCTCGTTCTAGAGTAGATATACTGTAACTGTGTAATAGGATGATACAAGTATTAAACTTATTCAAAGAGATAAAGAAATCCTATAGCTAAGATAGGATAAGCTGGGATTTTCTTTAGTGCATGTAGAGTGCTTAAGTAATGCTCTTAGCATAGGCAATTTCCTGGAAAATAATTCCTGATTTTATTTATTATTTTTTGGACAAAGTTTTTATTTAAGAAGTTAGCCATCATTCTTTAAAGATTTCATATGCTTGACTGATGCTCAATGATATGCCCTTGCATTTTAACAGCAGTTTCATCATAATTTAAGGGTCAGGGATTAGAGAATGCTAAAGTAAATTAATTAATAAATTACTCTGGCTTCAACTACCATTAGGGCACAAAATTAACACTCACTGAAAYTCACAAAATGCGAGTGAAATTTTGTATTACTGAGTAAGAAAGAATAAACAGTCCACAAATAGATGGATTGAAAAGTTCACAGCCCACATCAAGAAGCGTTTGTTATTCGCTGCCATCAATCGCTAGTGACTTTGATATTTTTGCAAGTGAGAACAAAACTTCTGAATGTTTGCACCCGAGTGCATTAATATTGAATGACTTGTTTTCTTTCTAAGCAAAGAATTCCATCTCCATTCGATGATTACATGGTTAACTGTTGTCCCCTTTGGACTGTGTATACCTACATTACATTCCTGCAACACAAACACTTATAGTTAGTAATATGACTTGTTTCTGTAACCTCAAAAACTGTCTGGGCTTTCAAAAACTATCCATCTCCAGTCGATTATTACATGGTTAACAGTTGTCCCCTTTGGACTATGTGTATACCTACAGTACATACATACCTGTAACACAAACACTTATAGTTAGCAAATCAATATTATGACTTGTTTCTGTAACCTCAAAAACTGCCTGGGCTTTCAAAAACAATCCATCTCCAGTTGATTATTACATGGTTAACAGTTGTCCCCTTTGGCCTTTGTGTATACCTACATTACATTCCTGTAACACAAACACTTATAGTTAGTAAATCAATATTTATGACTTGTTTCTGTAACCTCAAAAACTGTCTGGGTTTTCAAAAGCAATTACGAATATACTAACAAATAAGATTGATAAGTACTGAAGAAGACAAAACGCTTATAAAATTTCCAGAACTCCAGTGTTATTTGTCCAAAGAAACTTGAAAAAACTTTGGGAATTCTTTGTTTATGAACAATGTCATAGCCGCTATGCCGGAAGAATTTGGCAAAAGATTTTTAAACAAAATCTTTTATATTTTTCAAGATGAAGGCCATGGCTTTTGTTATATTACTTCCTTGGGAATGATTAAAAAACCAAGAATTCTGTTTTGCCAAACTTAGCTTACTGATTGAAATTTAGATTAATCATTTATTAAAATAAGCATAGATATCAAATTTTCAAACCTTCAAATTTTAATAAACCCTGTGCTAAATGATAGTTTTTTTTAGGGCGCAGCTAACTCACAGATCAAATAGCGCAGTGCAGCTCCGTGACATCATAAAAACGAAGGCAAAGGTGAAATTCGGACAAACAAACTTACGAGTTTACTTTCAGCAGTAATTTTCACAGCCAATCGCAGTTGATCTTAGATTACATGGGTTATTATTGTAACTTTAAGTAAAAATAATAAAATCGGTTCGTATAATCCTCGTAGCGCTTAAACAGAATGCAATGTTTGTCCGAATCTTTAAGCTATTTTTAGAATCAGTGCGCTGCGCTATTGGAATTATAAGTATGTTATGTTTTGCAGAGAGAACAACCAGAGAACCTGGAAAAAATCTATTGAATCAAAGGAGAGACACCTTGTGTCTCTGGTTCCATTCTTGCCCTTACAATAGTATCACATGTGAGAAGAGTTTTTTGTTGCAGTAGGTCTCTCACATGTATTTGAAATATATCCTAGAAGGGAGTTTTTAAATTTAGATTTCAAATTAGGGGCTTTCCCCCCAGGTTCTCCAGTTTTCTCTTTCATCACAAAAACTAAAGTAAATTCCACTTAACTCTCAGTGTGGGTTACAGTAGCTGTGCCATGACTTTGATCAGCCCAGAGGTTGTTTCACGGTATTGATATAAATTTATGATTTTTTTTTTTTTAATGATAAAAACTATATTTCAATTTCTCTGGGAAATAAAAACACCTATCAATTTTGTAGAGTTATGAGTACTTTCATCAAGAAATAATGAATATCAGATACTGTAATCATCTTAGAACATTAGATTTCATTGTCTGCTGTGTTAATTTAGAGTAAGAGTTGTCAGCAGATTGTAATTTTGATAAAGATAGCCTACAGGCAAGAATGCTTAATTTATATCTAGATTTGGGCAAACTAATTTCAAGTTTTTAATGGTTGCCATAGCAACTCTTTTATGATCATAAAACAGTGCTTGTGATGTTGGTGGTGGGGATCGCAATGGTCATGATGATGATATTGGTGATGATCATATAGTGATGATTCAGTAGCAGGCATAGCTCAGTTGGTTAGTGCTTGGCCTTCCGAGCTAGAGTTCTATGGTTCAATCCTCTCCAAATTAAGAGGGAGCTATCAAAAAAAAAGGAAAGACCTACTCTGTACATTATTAACCTTGGCCTTTTGAGCTAGAGTTCTATGGTTCAATCCTCTCCGAATTAAAAGGAAGCTATCAAAAAAAAGAAAAGACCTACTCTATACATTATTAATGGTGTAATACCACCAGCAGCAAACACAAACTCTATCTAAAATCATAGTCACAATCTTTTTTGAATATAGGATATCAAAGAAGTTAATACAGTAGATAATATATTGATAATTATCATTTGCTATTATTAATAGATCTTAGTATAATTTTAGACTCAGATATAGAGTTTCTTGAGCTTTGATTGGTCCAGCGACCAGTGATTATGAGACGATAATTACGATTGGAAATTATACCTAGTAGGTCATTATGAGATTTGTTATAGTTTTCCAGATCAGAAGTAACAATAAAAGGGTTTTTTTATCCTGAATTTTGACCTTTCTCTGATATTCAATTCAAGTCTAAAATTATACTAAAACAATTATTACCCTCAGGCTCAGTGATTATGGTGATATTTATATTCCAACGATAATCACTTTGCCTTTGGTGAATAATTGATAAATATGAAACTTATATCCAAGGCATTATTAATATAARTGGGACCTTGGTGCTGAAAAAGACTGACGTTAAGATGTATTTGATTATTCATGATTACTCGTCATTGCCTTTTCGGTTCTGAGTATACATGTACTGTAGAATTAATCCTGACCAGAAATTATGTTTTCCAGGACTGTACATTATTAATGGTACCTGCCAAACCATAGTACAAAAAAGCCAATATCAACATAATGACTTAGTCATAACCCATTGATTATATTGTCCTTGTTTTTGGAGTTTAGCTTTTGTGATTTCTGTCCAGGAATTGCCCTATTTCATAATGACGTCACAGTTTGTTTACATGCATCGGCTAAAATGATAGAAGTTTAGGCTAAATTTAAGCTTAATTCTCTTCTTTTGAGATATTTAGTAAGTAATATTTAGTTGTTCTTGCCTTCAACAGCTCATAAACCAAATTTCATTATGATTTAAGATTAGTTGTTGTCATTCCATCCGCCTCCAGCGACCATGATCCCTAGCGTTAAAACAATGGTTTGTTTTGATGTGACATCACTATGAAATAGGGCTATTGCATGTGGTATTTATACGGCTGTACATTTTTACTAGTGCTGTAGTACCAAACAAATGCCTCTAGCAACATGAATGACTCAGTTATAACCCATTAAAGTTGTCATGTCTTTTGAGTTCTTCATTAAATTATATTAAGTTCTGACCAGGAAAACGTTTTGCTTGTGGTGTTATGTATGTTGCTGCATTTTATAATTGCTGGCCAGGAATTGCTTGTGGTATTATCAGTTTTTTATGGACTGTTTATTATTCTGTTGTACCAAACAAATACATCAATTACAATCTATTGAATAAATATGGTATATTGGTATTTTGAGTTCTGCGTTTAAAAATATTGATCAGGAATGTACCATACATCTCCAAGAGGATGGACTATTACCAGATTTTTTCCAAAAACAATATTTTAAAAATGTTATAATTTATTAATAGGGCCATAACATTAAACAAATACCACTGTTCACCACGACAATAACAATATTTCTTTGTCTGATTACTGACAAGAAACAATTGAAATTATATTCAGTTGTCAGTTTTTTCAATTTTCAGTTTTGAAAATCCAAGGATTGCATGTTGTGTATATTCAGTGATTATTTGCTGCTCTAATTTAACTGCAAGACATGAATTCACTTAATAGAGTCATTCAAGTTTTAAGATTACTTCCATCACAATCAATTTGTGATCTCTGATGACCAATGTAGCAAAGGAATTGGAATCATATATATTGTTAGGAAATCTTAAAATCACCCTTAAAAGGTTTTCAATTACCTTCTAATTTGTCCTCAAAAGCTACTTCTAACCCTAAAGTATATTTCTCATAATTATTTCCAAATGAAGGTTTTGTAGAACGGTAGCATACATTATAAACAAAATATATTGTTTTATTTTATGTCATTTCTGACTCTTCCTTCTAGCTAGCCAGCGTACACAAACTCTGATATTTTTGTAAAAAATTGTCAGTGAATATCTATATTCAGCATATTAATCTTTGATTCATGAATTCCAAAAGTATTACACTCGCTGGGAGAAATTTAAATTTTTTATATTTTTTATATAGGCATGGAAAGTATAACAGAAAAATAATAATAAATATATAATRAATAATAATGAAGTGAACCTCATTCATTTAATGTGCTGTTTTCTTTCTCAAATTCTGCCACCAGGGTTTATCTCAACTGGTTTTCCTCCTCTAACTTTAAGTTATCTTTTGGGGGGAGTGTTGTGTTTATGTATTATAAACATAGTTTGAAAATTGTAGCACTGAGTGATAGTGCTCACAGCAAATAATTATTATTACCCAGCATGGAAGAGTATTTGGTCTTTAATTTTTTTTTTTAATCAACAGATTAAGTAATGTTTAATAAACGAGCAGGAGTGTTTTATCGGGTATAAAACACAAGGCGCAGCCGAGTGGTTTTAGACCCGATAAAACACGATCTGCGAGTTTATTAAACGGCTTAGAAAATCATGATGTACGTTCTCATATTGTACAGAATACTTTACGAAATGAACCAAGTTTGATAGAGAAAATCCAAGTTGAAGTTTATGCAAATGAAGACAAATCTATATTAGATATAAATCCTCCTTCATGGTCATGTTTTCTATTGTGTTTCCTTCTTGAATTATTAATGAGTTTTCTAACATGAAAAGTCATTAAAAACCATGCAAACACATTTTACTTTATCTTGTGTCACATTCAAGTAAAACTGTCTTGAAAATATACCCTTTTTAAATTTGTAAAATACTGTTCAGTGTTCCTTGATTTCTCACTAAATTATTTACTTACATTTGGCTTTATTTTATTATTAGTCAAAAATTTGTCAAACAGACATATTTTGTTGTAATGTTGTAGTGACATAAAGGACTTGATGACAACTACAATATATCAAAAAATACTATCACCAGAACCTTCTCTTGAATGGGCCATGAATATCCTGAAACCTGAGCATTAGAGAATTTGAAACTAAATTGCTACACRTCTTGTATTAATTTTTATGCAAAATTCTAAGAATCACTATATTTATTTTGTCATTTGAAACATATTAAATTTCTGTATTTGACTTCATCAATTTAGATCAGATTTGATRATTTACCTTTCAAGTTTATAGACTCTGCTTATCTAGATTAAAATCCTTGTATGTGAGAATCGGGACACAAACAAATTCATTGCCACTAAATTATGCATGATTGTTTTGATTAAACCTGTGAAAATGTGATCATGTTGGCATGTAATGTTATTTGAATGAATTAAACCACAGTTCCTTGATGAGATAATCAGAGTTGAGATTAATGGATTATATATCTAATGGTTACATGTGGTTAACCTCAACATATGTACTAATGTACCGGGTACATTATAAAAGAGAGTAGAAAAAACAAATTGAACTCTGAAACAACCTCTGGGCTGATTAAAGTCAGGGCATAGCTTACTCACATGGAACCCTGAAACAACCTCTTGGCTGATCTAAGTCAGGGCATGGCTAACTCACAGATCCAATCCTGAAACAACCTCTGGACTGATCTAAGTCAGGGCATGGCTAACTCACAGATCCAATCCTGAAACAACC